CTCCTCTCCCGCCCCCTTTCCCTTCGGGCAGCAGCGCGCGTCGATTGGCGCCACTTATTTATGACCGTCTGTGAAAAATATGCGCGTGGCATTATTCAAAAAAGCCCGGAGGCGGTGCAAGGGGGTTGGGGGGGGAGTACTTTTATCACGGAACAGCGTTTTATGGGTGCTGAGACGTTTCAGCGGACGAGGTTGTGCTTCTAGAAGAGGGCACTCACACTCGCGCACGCGGGAGCCGAAAGGGTTGTAATGCGTGGAAAAGCGCGGAAGTGTGATTTTTCGTGCTGCGGCCTAAACAGGAGCACCCTATCTTGTGTTTCGAAGAAGTGAACGCAGCCGTCTCTTTCTACCATTCCATGCGTTGATTTTTTTTTCAGTTCGTCTCTTCTGTTATTCGCCTTCTTCTTTTCGCCCACTTCCTCTTTTCTTCTCCCGCCTGGACGGACGCGGGGTTCATGTAGTTCGACAACTCGGAGATAAGTGCCCGTCAGGCCGTCAGCCCGGGGCACAAAGCGCGGGCCATAAATCATAATGCCTTGACTTAAATTGATTCGGCTCTGCTGGGGGAGGAAGGGGTAGAAAGGGAGAGGGGGGAGGTATACCTAACATTGAACAGCTTTAAAATTACGAAGAATATTTGTTGTTTTGTTTTACAAATGAGGCAAAGGCATAAGATAATTATGATTATGAAAATGTATTTTCGAAGTGTTTTTTTGAACATAGTGAACGTTTAGTAAGATACTGCCTGACCGAGGAGCTGACACGACTTGCAATAAATTATATTTGTAACGACAGAGCTCACGTGCAACGTAGACTGCCAGCTGACTGTGGAGGGCAATAGCTCGCGTTTGGACTCGCCCGACCGTAAGGGTGCGCGAGTAGGCAGTTGTAAGAAGGGGGTGCGGAGGGGACGAAGACGTAGCGGAGGAGGAGGCGGAGGAAGAGGAGAGAGGAAGATTAAGGGGAGGAGGATGGATAGGAGGAGGAGGAAGTACAGCACCGCGTTGCCGTGGCCGCCGCTCGTCCCGCACAAGGGAATTAACCGAATAGTTGTGTAGTCAATTTGCGTTTAGCGCGGCCGGCGCCACGCCGCCATGTTAATTTATGGATAGCGGGCGAGATCCGCTTACAATAAGGCGCCTAATTCGGCCCGAGGTGCCGCAGCGTCCACCGAGGAGGCCTCGAGCTCTCCGGGGCGGGGCCTGCCGCACGCGCACGCACTCGTGCGCGTGGATTGAACTTATGCAGGACTCCAAGTGCATTGTGTTGTAAAATTCACAGAATTTATTTTTGAACATATCTTTTTTATTTTTGGGTGATAGGGGGATGTGGGGCGTCAAGAAATCACACTAATCACCGCAAATTGAAACTACGTCCGAGTGCGTGAGTTAATGGTCACCGTGACATTAACTAATTCCGAATCAATCTCTTTTTCATTCTTTTTATTTTTTTATTTTTGCTGATCGGCTGTAGTCGATTAATCATGCTGCTGGCATTCCCCTCTCCCCCCGCGAGCCACTATTGTCTTGACCAACACAATCAGGGCCGGGCCTGGCTTGTGTGTGGCAAAGACTCAGATCGAATACGGAATCGCCGAGATTTCCTTCCGCCCCGGGGGGGAGGGAAGTCGGGATATAGGGAGGAAAGAAAGAAGAGGGGGTGGGGGGTTGTTTCGCCGACCATCTCCACCGCCCCGAAGCTCTTCCTTGATGACTTTTCTGTTACAAACGGACGTACTCCGTGTTTATGCTTTTGCATAAGGGAGCAGCATTACGACAGGCTCTCAACCACCATACAGAGCAGGGGGCGAAAGGGTTGAAAAAACAAAAACAGCACAAACCGCCTCTCTGCGAGTCAACTCGCAGAGATTCGAGTATTTCTCCTCGTGGGATTAGTCACGCTGTTTCCACGAGTGTGTTTTCGTTTGGCCGATTTTTTCTCCTTTTCCCCTCCTAAATGGGTGGGGGCGTGAGTGTGGCAGCAGGTGGCACAGTTCCCTTGTTAGTGTGCTCCCGGCGCGTCCAGCCAGCCGCCCGACACGAGGTGCGAGCAGTAATCTCTCTTGTCAATATTTTCTTGTCCACACGGAATTGCCAATTATTTTCCGGCCTCTCTGGGCCGGGCCGCCGCTGCGCCGTTTGGAGGACGACGCGCTCCATTAGGAAAGGGTCATGCAGCTTCTTATTTTTTGGCGATGAAGCAGCTCGCCATTTTTATATGGAAATGATGCGTTCTCTATTAAAAAAGGGGTGAGGAGAGAAAAGAGGTGAGGGAAGGTAGTATGGGTGGAGTTTGGTCCGGTTGAGTGATTGACGACCCATTATTGCACCCTCATCCATCAACGCCCGGGGCGGGCGGGCAGCGCCGCTGCAAGGGAAACGAGAATCACTGTTAAAATGCATTTGACGATAAGTGTGAGACTATTTTACGTTCAGAAGGCACGTCCCTCGGACAAAACTGACACGTTTTTATCCCGCGACGTTTTGGCCCCTCCCTCCCTCTGCTCGCCGGGGGGCTGAGGCTCTGCCACCGGGAAACAGAGACGTATCAACGCACTTTTCCATTTGCGTTATGAGAAACAGCTCGGCGTGAATTTGTCTCCCGCTGTGGCTTTTTGCCTCCTCCCTTCTTCCTCTCGCTTTGCCCCTCCCTCTCCTGTCTCTCTTCTTACCCCCCCCCCTTTTTTCTTTCCCTCGAATCTCTTTTTCGTCTGACGCCTGTTTTGTTCGCTCTAAAACTTTTGCCTACTTTGCGCCAAAAACTGCCGGCCACTTGGTGATTCGCTCCGTGCGCCCCCCCCCC